GTGTGCGCTACCTCACCCGGCTTCTTCTTTTTTTTAATAAGTAGAAGGAGACTATTCTAAAATAATGATAAAAAGCATAGTACAGTAAATAGATGTTTCTATACATGATAATGTGCTATATACATTATCAAGACTGTTCAAAGGCTTCTCAGATTTCATTTAATCCTCATAACATTAATAACTTTACTGGGTGTTATTATCAATCCTACTTTATGGATGAGGCGAGTTATGCACAGAGAAATTAAGTAACCTTCTTAGCTCCACACAATAGGTATGTATGTCTTAGAGCCAGAAAAGCAAGTATTCACTTATCCAAATTTCTCTTTCTTCAGAATGAGATAAAAGTACAACTTCAGGCCGGGCGCAGTGGCTCACGCCTATAATCCTAGCTCTCTGGGAGGGCGCGGCAGGCGGATTGTTTGAGCTCAGGAGTTCGAGACCAGCCTGAGCAAGAGCGAGACCCCGTATCTACCAAAAATAGAAAGAAATTAATTGGACAGCTAAAAATATGTAGAAAAAACTAGCCGGGCATGGTGGCGCATGCCTGTAGTCCCAGCTGCTCCGGAGGCTGAGGCAGGAGGATCGCTTGAGCCCAGGAGTCTGAGGTTGCTGTGAGCTAGGATGACGCCACGGCACTCTACTCAGGGCAGTAGAGTGAGACTCTGTCTCAAAAAAAAAAAAAAACTTGTAATGTGAATGTGATTCTATTCTTTTTTAGGTTTTAGAAAATTTTATTGACACATAATAGTTATAAATTCTATTCTTAATAGCAACAAAAATTAAATAAAATAACCAGGTCTGTGTCTGACCTAAAGCTGTAACTTTTTACTGAGTGATATTATGGGCAAAATAAATCTCAATATTGTAAAAATGTCAATTTTGCACAAATTTCTTCACAATTTTATTTGATTCTAGTAAGAATGATAAGGGAAACTTCTTTTTCTTTTTTGAGAGACAGGGTCTCACTCTGTCACCCAGGGGAGAGTGCAGTGAAGCAATCATAGCTCACAGCAACCTCAAACTCCTGGACTGAGAGATTCTCCTGCCTCAGCCTCCTGAGTAGCTGGGACTACAGAGGTGAGCCACTGTGCCTGTCAAATAAGGGGATTTCTTATAGAACATCACAAAATATTGTAATCGTTATCTGGAAGAACTAACAAGCAGAATTAGTTAAGACCAATTTTAAACAGAATGACAAATTAGGGGGACACACGCCCTATCACAGAGGACTGTCCTGTTAGAGGTAATAGCCCATATGAGAAGGCTTAGTTTACAAATCGCTTTCTCACACCAAGTTATATGCTCTGTTGACAGACTATTTTTTACTTCTAAAGACTTACTGCTCTAAGTGTATAATTTGCAATTATACGATCATTATAGTAATTACTAGTGGACTGCCTCATCCCACCCCAGTACAGCAAACTCTGTGAGAGCAAGGACAGTGTTTGTCCTGCCAGCACCTACTCGCCCACGTCCAGAGAGCCGACTAGGATTATGGAACCAGTTGCCCTCATGCACTCATGGTCCAAGGATAAAATGGAACCACCTCTGTGGTGGGAAGCCTGCCGTTTTTCTTAAAAAAAAAAAAAAATCATAACCAGGCATTTCTTTTGACCAAGTGATGGCAATTCCATAAACTTATACTAAGAAGACAAAAGTTTGCACACCTAGTGAATTTTGCATAAAGCTATAAATCATGTTTATAATGGCTAAAAGCTAGACATAACTGTCCACTATCAGATTGGATTATTTGACAACCACAATTAAAGAAAAATTGGTTACATGAAAAATGATTACTATAATGGAAAAAATTCCAGATATTACAATGTGAAATTACACATACAGTACAGATACAACAGTACTTAAATACACATAAACTCCCAAGCCCACATCCTAAATACAGAACGGAAGAAAATATACTAAAATTTATTTTACTTGTATTTGTATTTATAAATCCAACCTGAGTATTCTAGGGGGAACAATCATTCTTTTGAGTCCAGGAGCAATAATGCTCCCCTAAGGAACACAGATGTCCATCCTGAGAAAAATGGCATTTAGTCAATCTCTTTCTTACCTTGTATGTAAGTTTATTGCACATTAACATTGGGTATACTTTCCTAGCCCTAACAGATTGAATTCATTAGAACAAAATTAACTGTCTGAAAAATATAAACCATAACAACCAAAATCCCTACATGGCATCCGAGGGCAAGACACTGGGAAACTCGTGTCTCTCCTGCTTGTGAGTTTGCCCTGTAGTTCTGTATAGAAATGTAGCAAAGAAAACGCATATATCAAGTTAGGGTGAAATCCAGGGGAGAGGTCCTATCAGGAAGCTCCTTTATTTGTTCACATAGATAAAATTTTGGTCCAGGTTTCTACACATCTCAAAGGTACTGGAGAGCGGTGTACTTGGCTGTTATGGGGTGAGGGAGCCTAGAGGCTCCAAGCTAATTATGCTACTATTGCCAGTTGTGTGAACAGCAGAAGACACTCAACTGGCAGAAACGTAGTAAAATCTATTTTAATTTGTTTGGCAATATTTTACCAATAATACAACCAAAACTCAGAAAAAGACAAATACAAGAAGAAGAAATTCTATACTCAAATATGTTAGCTGGTGTAGCCAAGAGTAAGTGATACACATATGAGAGTAAAATAAACTCAAGGATTGTAACAGAATAAAAACTCAACTGCAGAATGAGCCAAGCACAGGGCTTAGCTTGAGAATCTATTGGTATATGCTCAGCCTACGCTGTTACGTAATGGCTAATGGTCAGTTCTGGTTTGTTATAGGAAACAGGAAACATCACTCTGACTAGTTAATTAGTTCCCTGTGCAAGAAACACTTCGTAAAAGTCAGGATTACTCACGTGATATCCCTTCGTTGATAGCAGCCCTGAAGCAGGCAGGCAATGAGGTCACTGATAAACTCCACATCATCTCTGTGAAGAGCTGCTTCTAACTCCTGAGGGAGGGGAGAAGGAGAGAGGGAAACTGAGAAATTAAACACAGAGATTTCTTAAAATCCACCTGCCCCTCACTACCACCACCACCACAAGTCCCAAGTAACTGAATGGTCAGTGCAGCAGAAGGACTTGCCTGCGATCGACTCTCCCTCCCCTCCCACAGTCACGGCTAGAAGAGCAACTAGAGTTCAGCTTTTTGTTTTTTCCCAGCGGTTATTTCTCCCATTGCTGTTTACCAAGCCCCATTCCTTTTACCTGCACACTAGAAGAAACACAAATTTCTCTTTTTTATAAAGCAATGCTAGTTTCATAATCGAAGAGCTTAACTCTGACTATATAATAAAGTATAAACATGCTGTATTGCTTTCTATTTTAATGGCAAAATAAAGGAGCAATCATGTAACTGATTACAAAGTATTCTTCATTTACTAAGTCTCAATAGAAAAATCATCTATAACAGCTTTAAAGAACCACTGTGTTATGAACTAAACAGCACTGGTAGTAAGCAATATGGTAATTTTCATTTTGGAGACACTATGACCAATGACAGGAGATTGCTTGAACTAAGATTAATCTCACATCATCTGGAGAGAAATGAGGTAATGTCTATGTTAATGGTCTAATCCTAGCTGAGATGCGTTTGCATTCCTTAGTGTTCAAGTTAGGCAATGTAAAGATTTCACTAGTCTCAGCGCAGTATTCTACAAAGATTAGTTTGGACGGGGGCCATTAGATAAAAAGTGAAAAGTGGGAAACTTTAGGTGATCCTATGTCTCTCAACACATCAAAATAAGCAGATATTTTATGAGATGATAGAATATTTTCTAAGTCATCAAGTGTTTTACTACAAACGTTTGCCCGTATTCTTTGAACCAGGATGCTATGTTCTGCATGCGAACCATTTCCCAAGAGTCTGCTACACTTATGGTTTGACTACCTCATAACCAGATCCATGATTCACAGGAAAATCATATGTTTGAGAATCTCATTAACGGTTCTGAAAGTAGAGGAGATGTGCAAAAGATGTACCTTCTAATCATAACACCAATTATGTGGTAGTTTATGCTAAAGAAGGCATTCTACTTCTGGTACAGAATTAATAAAGTTCCTTTGTAAATTATTTTAATTGTTCCATTTATTATTTTATTTTGTTATTTCACTTTTTAAAATTCCCAAGTTTGGAAATGCTCACTCTAACAAAACTTCACAAGACAAAAAATTGCTAAGCATAATAATAACTGACACAAACTATAAACTATTAATACCACTCTGAGGCAGGTTCAACTAAAAAGTAAGGGGTCCCATATCGCCTCGAAAGCTCAGACAGACGAATACTCAAAGTTCAGAGACAAGGCTCAAGCCTGAAAACATTTTGCTCGTCTTAAATACAAACCTGGGAATTGCTAACACATGTATGGAAAATGTTCTTATTCTTACATTATCTTATTAATTTCGGTGGGCAGACTTCTTTCCTACATTCTAGTTAGGTGTTACTCAGAAAAATAAGAAACCCCACCAATCAGAGTTAACAAGGATTTTATCTATAATGAGCCAGAATTCATTAATTCAACAAATATTTACTGGGTACCTACTCTGAAGATAATACAGTACTTCCTAAGTACTAGGGAGCTTAGTTTACTTAGGGGGACTAAAATGGTACAGAGAATAAAAACAAAGTAACAAATATTCTTTGATATGGAAGTGGCGCTACTGTAGCTGAGATGAGAAAATTGTGACTGCGTGACAATAGGGAGAGGCAGGGCATAGGCGGGTGCAGGGGCAACACAGCAAAGGTGCCCGTAGGCTGCGAGGTTCAAAGTATTCTGAAGATTACGGGAAGGGGAGTAACGTGAGCTAAGATTGAGAGCCAATACTGGATACCAAGCTGAAGAGTTTGCCCTTTGTTTGGAGGACAATGGAGACCCACTACGGTTTATTTTTTTATAGAGGAGAGGCGGTGAGACGAATCTAGCCGCCACGTATGTCAGACGAATTCTGGCGGCTAGGAGGGTGAGGGGAACTGTCTGCGCAGGCAGCAGTGCAGGAGAAAGGTTCCAAAGGACTCACTGAACAAGGGAAAGAGCAGCACCTTGCAGGAGTAAATGAGAGCCCCGGCAAGGGAAGATGTGAATGGCTCATATTTTAAGCCTGGTCACTGGGGCAAGACTCCAAAGTAAACTGGAATTACAACAGAAGTTATTAACAAATCCTCGAAGCACAAAGTCCCAGGCCACCTCGTTTGTCAGACAAGCCAGCATCACTGAATGCTGGAGCTGGAAGGTAAATTACAGACCACATATTTCAACTCTCTCAATTTAAAGATAAAGACACTAGGTCCAGAAAGGACAGTGACTTTTTCCGGGGCACGCAGCAACTCCATGACAGAGCCAAGTGAAACCCAGGCTCCCAGTCCAGTGCTCTGCCCACAGAAGCTGCAGCTCCCTCTGGCGGATGCTGTCTGTCTGGAAAGGCCTGATGGCATCAACAACCACGGTCACAACCCAACCACTCTGTTTCCTCTAAGCCATCACGTGTCCCTCTCCCTAGGGAGAAATCCCGCCCCCGCCCAACTACGCTGTAGTCCCTGACCAGAAAAACTTCGTCTCCAAAGCTGTCCTTGTCACGCTCCACCGTGCTGTCCCCAGGCGGCTTCGCCACCACAGCAGCGCCCACACTCTCCCACCAGTCCTCGCTCCGCCCTCTTCTCTGCCTGGGAACATTAAAAGCACAGTGTGATTCTTGATTAAAGGGGCTGTGGTCTGCACTAACTCATGTCTTCTAAGGTTTTTAAAGAACAGAAGTGCCGAATTAAATGATAATAAAGGCCACACTGGAGGAGACGAGGTAAGAACCGGGAGGCCAGGCCGTACAGCAGAGGAGACTGCAAGAAGTTTGTCACAGGGTCCACATGGCATCTGCCTACTTTGTGGTTTCTGGGAAACCCAGTTACCTTTCTCTTCCATCTCTGCCTTCAGCACACAGACATGCTCTTCTGGTTTCCCCTATCACTGCCAGAGGCAGGTTCTAGCTGCCTGGGTTCTAGCCAGAAAACTGTTCTCAGAGGACACACAACCTAAATGTTTCCTGTGCTGTAGCAATGGCCTCGTGAGTGCACTTGCCGCTCCTTACAACACAACAGTGTCGGTTTCATTCACCTCCTCTACATAGGCTGCTACAGGAGAGGCAAATTCCTGTCTTCTCTGTGGCCCTTCCTATAACATTAGCACAGAATTTAGCAAATATTAACAGTAGGTGGTCAAATAATTCAGCAAAAATATATAGTAAACCCACTATTTGTCAGTTTCCAGGGATACAATGGTGAATAAGAAAATCCCAGTATTATTATAGGAGGGAGGAAGAGATGGAGGGAGGGAATGCTAACATGTAAACCAGAAACGGGAAATTCTTCTGGTTTTTTATTTAATGTGTTCACTGCTGTCTCCCCAGCAACTAGAACACTGCCTGATATACAGTAGGCATTCAAATATTTTCTTGACCAAATGATAGCAAATACTTATAAGAGTATATGATACATGCTATATAAAAAAAACAAAGTTGGCCAGGCGCAGTGGCTCCTAGCACTCTGGGAGGCCGAGGCGGGAGGATTGTTTGAGCTCAGGAGTTCGAGTCCTGCCAGAGCAAGAGCGAGACCCCATCTCTACTAAAAATAGAAAGACATTAGCTGGACAACTAAAAATATACAGAGAAAAAATTGGCTGGGCATGGTGGCGCATGCCTGTAGTCCCAGCTACTCGGGAGGCTGAGGCAGGAGGATCGCTGGAGCCCAGGAGTTTGAGGTTGCTGCGAGCTAAGCTGACGCCACGGCACTCTAGCTCAGGCAACAGAGTGAGACTCTCTCAAAAAAAAAAAACAAAAACCACAAAGTGATGTGGGAAAACTAAAGAAATTGAGGAATATGGGGAGTAAGACGTTGTCAGGGAAGTAAGATTTGTGGGGGGCCTTGAAGGGAAGAATGGCACCAGGTAGCGGAACCGAGAGAACGACAGCGTGAAAGTTCGTAGCAAGTGTGGGAAGCACCCAGTGCTCTCCCCAAAAGTAGAGACGGTGATGAGACACTTTAGATGAGGGTGGAAGGCAGGCTAAGTCTGGTCCCTTCAGAGCACCTGGTCTGAAAACCACACTATGAGTGGATGTTTACCCCCCTGTGCGACTGAGTGTAATTTTTTAATCCCTACCTTGATTTCCAAAAATTCCCATGGGGGGGCAGAGACAGGAGACAATGTGAGAGATGCATAAAGATCAATACTGATGATGTTCTAGTTTCTATTTGGAAACTATTTTCACAGATGATACTACTTATAAATGAATGAAGCAAAACATTCAGAGATCAATGATGAGACTGTCATGAACCAAGGATTAAACTTAAAAAAATCTGTGAACAAGGGGTTTACATTTAAAAAAAAGAAGAGAACAAAAAGTTATTACTGTTTTCTGCCTGCCTTACTAACCAGGTTTCACTGTTCATTCAACCTAGTTTTCTTGACATTATTACAAGAAACTGGGGACTAACATCCCCATAAATTACACAATCTTGTTCTTTAACCCAACTGTGGTGGGTAGGTTAAATTGGATTGGTAGAAACTTCTTCTCCCCAGTGAATTTGGGTTTGCTTTTTCAAGTAAAGCCATGATCTAGTGAGTTAGTAAATGGGGAAAGTTATTAAATAGAAGAGTATAATATCAGGGATGTTGAATCGGCTGAACAGCCTTGAATGGTCTCTCAAACGACACAAGTATTGAGAGGAACTTTGCATCACGTAGAAAATATCCCAACCACTCTCCCTTGCCTACCATTTTCCCCAGTCCACCATCCTTGGAATACAGTAACTAACTCATAAAGACAGTAAGAAAATGGTTTCAAAATATAAAATTGCACTTTAAATATAATTCTATGATACTATGTTTCATATATCAGAAGCTACCTAGAAAACCCACCCCAAAATTTGCAGGCCCAAGCTAACTTTCAAGGTGACAAAGTT